TAAATAAAAGTATGTTGAGAAGAAAAAAAAGAAAGATCTATTTTATTATATACCGATAATGCTATAAGAACTTTTCTGTGCTTTTTTTTTCGATAAGATAACAACTAAGCACCACCAACAGAGACAAAATCAACAGCGATTTAAATTTACAAAAGTGCCTTTCCTATCAATTGTTTATTATTTTGCATTCCAAAACTTATCACATTAATTATCACCCAATTTATTTTAGTAAACTTTAGATAACTATAGATTTAGTTAAGTATTTATTTGACCATAAATTAAACTAAGATTTTCAAAAACAACAACAACAAAAAAAGACAATGAATACATTTGACAGTAATATAACACAAATAAATTTACATTTAGCAAAAAAAAGGCATAGTACTGTTTAGTTGAATTTCAGATACACGTAAAATGACTGAAAAAAATAGTCTAAAGAACAGAAAGAGTTGTGGATCAAAAAGAACGCAAATGAAAGTAGCAAAAATAAAAAAGCAACAAATTTCTCCTACAGATTCCTTTAACTGTTCAACAAAAAGCAAGAAGCAAAAAAATAAAAATAAAAAAGAAAGAAAAAAAAAAGAAACAAGAACAACAGCAACAAAAACGTTCAAATTATATCCCTAATAAATTGTTCAACGAGTGATGAAAAACCCACTAAACAGTATGAACAACTTAAACCAAATTTATGATGTTAAAAATCGGCAGACGTTTCAGTTCAGATTAGCGGAGTTCTTGCAAGCAGATAGTTTATAAGAAATATTTGTCGACCAAACTTCGACACAGTTTTCAACTGTTGGTGTTCGTCGGTGTTCAATCGGTAAGCTGATTTTACGAACAGTTTACATTCTGCACACATAGGTATCCCGTCTGATAACTGCTGAATAATCGTTAAAATTTTGTCTGATTATTCGCTGCTGAAAAATTATTTTCAATAAGTTTGAAAATTTTTTTAGTGAATTTTTCAACTTTTAATTGAATTGTCTATTTATTTATTTATTTAATTTGTTCTATAAAAAAAACACCAGTAAATCTATCTATGTTTTGTATCATTTAGCAAAAGTAGCAAAAATTAAATTAAAGAATCAATTACGATTAGAATTAAGAAATAAATTGGGCTAGAAAAAAATAAGAAAAATTTTAATGTTTAAATGTTTTTTGCTCTATTTTTTGTCTACTATGCAACAATAATCTATTCAAATGACAGTAATGAAAAACGATGTTAATAAAGATTATTTAGTGATCAGATCTGCTTCCATCTTTTTTTTTTTTCTCCAAACATATATTTCATCTTTCTATTGTATTCGTATTTGTGTGTACCGGTGTGTCAGTGTAGGTGCCTGTGTGAAACATTGAATATTCCCAGAACAGTAATGTCGTATAGTCTTAGAGCTGTCACATTTTATCAAACTTTATTAATTTTAGCGATATTCTGATGGTCACTACCCAACAGATGAGCATTATAAAGTGATTTTTTATAAAAAAAAAAACAGAGTTTTAAGCGTACAGTTTCATTAACCAAACAGTCAGATATGTTTTTTTAGTCATTATTAAAAGATACGTTTGCTTATCTCTTTTTTCTTCCCTTTTTATCTTTTTACACCTATCCATTCATATTGCAACAATTGCGATTATGCAACATCCGAAGCCCGTTAACCCACACAGTCAGCCAACAAACCAACTAACTGAGCCTCACCGACAGACCAGCTGCGTAGGCTAGATAGAAAGCAGGCTCAACAGCGACTATCTGAGTAGACAGACTAGCCACCAACTTATTGAGCAAATAATTTGACAAGGTGTTTAAGTATAGTCAACCAAGTGCGTGCACTTTTTTTTCTGTCTTCTTTTGTTTTTCTGAGAATCTCGGCAGTATTGTCGACATGAAAAATTGCAAAATTTTATACCGCAATGAAAATTCAGTTTTACTTCTTAGTAAATTTTGCAGATCAGATGTCCAAGTTGCTTATTCGTTAGCATTTCTTGAGCTGTCGATAGCTGATAAAATTAAAAGTTGCAATCAAAGAATACACAACATCAAGTTGGTGCAATTAGTGATCATATTATTCAGTGGCAATAACAGCAGCACTTCTGTTAAATCCATTACTGCAAAAAGCAAAATGTTTATTTGAAATTATCAATTTGCATTTTCTTCTCGCTAATACTGTTCCAGAATATCCAAGGCAGTCCATCAAAACTGTATTTTGTTTCCTACAGTTATTTAATTGTATAACTGTTGAACAGCGACACAGTCATCAGTGTCGATAATTAACGAAAGAGGAACAAAAAAGAACTCTAGATTTTATTCTTGATTCATCAGTTATTTCTCGTTTCTTCTTTTTTTTTTTTTTTT